AAGCAGCACAGCACACATCAGAAGGTATTAACCCAGAACATGTATTTCTGATCACCAACGCTAACACACAAAGGTTTCTTAGAATTAGCACTTTCTAACTCGAATGTGTAATCTCAGCCATAGAACTTGTTAAGATGTAGTGGAAGTAAGTAAATCTTGAAGTGAAAGGGAAATAAAGATTTGTATTTCACTGGATATTTCACCGTGTTATTGTGTTTCTTGCAGAGCTTTTTATTCCCAACATACAGCTCAGCAAAAACTACATTCCAATGTAGCTCTCCCCAATTCTCTTAATAAGATTTAAAAACTTATAGTCTCTCAAGAGTTCACTTTTCCCAATTGCTGTGCAAGTGTTGCATCTAATAAAGAAAATCTGGATAATAAGCCTTGGGATCAATCTCTTGCAATACTGGAGAAGTAGTCTTGTAACCTGCCTACTTCAGCTAGGGAGACTGGGGTGTAGACAGTAAGAACTGAAATATATGTACAGTAATACAATAAGCCTGGGTAACATGGGCTGACTTGAACTGCTGGTACAGGATGTGCAACAGAACACAGCAGCATAACAGAAACATGGCAGAATACCAACTGCAACTAGAACATGCATTTACAAGCACAGGCAACTGTGCCCAATTATCATTCAGTGTTGCTCCAAAGGACAGAGCTGCACAAGATGTATATTACAGACATATCTAGACATACCCACCCAAAAGTGAAAGTGCAGTTGTCTGAGGATGCAGAACATTCACAGACTCAAATTTTGACACACATCACAACTCTAAACATAATACAGTTGAGTGCTAATGAAGGACATCACTTTCTTAAAAAAAGAAAAGAATATCTGACAACATTCAAAATAACTTATGCTTTATTTTATCCAGTTAGTTTCACCCCAATTATATTAACAAGGAAGTTAAATGTTCATGAAATACATGAACAATTCCTGAAGGCACAGTAAAAATATCTATTAACGACAAGGAAAAGGTATTGCAGTCGCTACTATTTACACATTAATTTCTGCAATGCCGCTAACATCAACCACGTAAACATATAGCACCTGCAGTCGCAAACAAAACCATCTTCTTATAAAAACAAAAACATTTACCTGTTACTACAGTTTCCTTCAGATCAAGCTGTACACGCTGCATTTGTGCAAACTGATGCAAGGCAGACACTGGATTTATCTCTCCACGTTTATATTTTACAATAAATTCCTTTGGTATTTTCTTTGGAGGAAGTGATGTGTTTGGAGCTGGCTGGGCTCCTCTGAAGTACAGGTTTTCTTGAATCTGACCTAAAAAACATAGGCTTAATTTAAACGAAAAAAATCATTGCATTGGAAAACTAGAGAAGTTTTTAGAGTGCAACCTGAAAGACGTGACATAAGAAATGACACTTTGTCTCAACGCCTACCTGAAGACCCAGGTAAAAAAAGCTTCAGCTGGGGTGATAGTTGGTGATGGTCCCGCTTTGAGCGGGCAGGGGGCTGGAGTAGGTCAGTGGTTCTCAACCTTTTTTGGATCAGGACCCATTTGTAAACAGCCATTGCCAGCCTTGACCCAGTAAATAGTTTTACGTAGAAAACAGCACCCTATCCCTGCACAGGGGTCCCCAAGCAGCCCTTCACAGGCTGCAGTTATGCCACCCTGCAAGCAAAAAGCCACAGCTTCCCATGTTTTTCTCCTTGAAAGAAGAATCAATTTTTAAAGTTTGTTCATGACCTTTTATACGTTCTTGCAACTCACTTTTAGGTCACAACACACAGGTTGAGAAACACTGGACTGGGTGGCCTCCTGCGGTCCCTTCCAACCCTCATTTTCTACAGCATATTAGGCGACTGGAATTACTTATTCATTAGAAAGGCTTTAAAGAGGTACAGCAAGACTGAATAGCTTCTGCTTTTTTTTTTTTTTTTTTAAAAGCTACCTGGGTTTGTCCCCAAAGACAAAAAAACCCTCTCTGGATATCCATATACAGGCCCCAAAGAAACTGCACATTTCTACACTACAGGAAAATGGGACTGGCACTTTTTAGGACTTCAATAGTCAAAACCTGTGCTGCTGGGCATGAAAACAAAGCAACACCTGGCACCCAGCTCACAAGACCTCCCCTCAGCCACAGGTAATATCAGCCAGGGCTGCAACACAGGGACTGCTTCACAGACTGGATTCTGCAGGGACTGGCAATATTGGCTCAAGGTCCCCCCTGTAAGGTGCCTTCAAGGTGAGAGGAGGCACCAAGAGGCAGAGCCTAAGCCTGTGAGTAAGGTGAATGTGCACACGGGAGCAAACCTTACCCCTCCTCTTCCTTCCACAGCAGTTTTTGAGGCAGCCTACCTGGACTCCCCAGAGAAACAGGGCTGGAAGCCCTCCCACCCCCAACAGGTCACCTGATCCAAGCCCCCCAGGCAACACCAGAGCCATGATTCGCAACTCGCGCCCTTGATCCGACTGAGGAACAGCGCGATTCAGTACAATGGCTCGTTCAGACCCTTGCCGACCCCGTAGCCGCGAGCCTAAGGGCGCGGCCGCTGCCGCCACCTGTGAGCGGCGTCACGCGGGAGGCCAGGCTGGCCTCGGGCTCCGCCGGCGCCCACAGCGAGCCCGGGCCCATCGCCAGCCCCAGGCCAGGAGGGCGCGAGGATGGCGGCCTGGGCAGATTCCTCTTCAGCATCTGGGCAAAGCTGGGCACGCACGATCCACGCAGCCATGCATCACCACCACTGCTACTGCCCATCGCGCCAACGGCCGGCTAACGTCACCACCGGCCGCGAAAACCTCACTCCCACCTGCCTGTGGGCTCGAGGCTATGAAGTCTCTAGGGAAGCCCCGCCCCCGAGCCACGTGACTCCCCCCTTTCCAGCCAGCCGCCGCCAGTGCTCCGCGGCGCGGGAAGGCGTCACGTGCTGGCGGCGCGAGCAAGCTTGAGGCGTGTGGGGCGCTGCAGCCCTTGGTGGCTGGGGAGGGACGCCATACCGGGTGCCGGGACTGGCGCGGGACCCCGTGGCCAGGCGGTCGCAACCGCCCGGTTCAGACTTTCACCCGGCTTCCTGCATGCGGCTCGAGCCCCCACCGCACCCGCACAAGCCAGAGGCAGGGTTGAAGGCAGCAAGCCCCCGCACCTACTCAACACGGACTGAATGAAAGCCACCTAGTTAAGAGCCTTAGGGTCCCATCGCCCCCTCATAGGCTGTGTCTCTGGCCGTGGCCCCCTGTCATAGGCCCATGGGGCTTACCCTAAGTTAGGAAACTCATGGTGGGGAACCCCTTCCCCCAAATATTAAGACCCAAGAGCAGCTCGGCTCCTGTGAGCTGCACACATGCCCTAAATTAGTGTGCAGGGCTAGGGGATGCAGTCTCAGGCACTGAGGGCCCCATCCTGACATGGTGGGATAGGCCTGCTCCTGGCACTTGCAACAGACCAGCTCCATGCTGTAGTCATGGCCTACAGGGCAAAAGGTTGAGCTCAGCAGTTTTGTAGAATTTGCCTAGGTGTTGGCAGGAGCTCCTGCCAGATTGAGAAATGTGGTATTAAAGCCCAAAGAGAGAACAGAGCCCTTCGTCCTGCCATCCAGGGCTTGACAGACGGCACATGCAGGCTTTAAAATAAATTTGCAACAGCCAAGCCAAGGCCACCCTTCCCCTGCTGCCCACCACTACCCGGGCAACTTTACATGGTGCCAAACCTCCTCCAAGGAAGGCAAATACCCAGTCTGGGGCAGGAGTGGTGGTTAATTTCCAAGGAGCATGTGTAGACAAAACAGGCCCCTAAACTGAAGTGGTGGGCTTTAAAAAACACCGCTTCAGTTTAAGGCAGATTAAACCCCATGTTGTGCACACACCGTACCTGTCTCTCCAGCAGGGAGGGGAGGGCAAGCTGCTGGCAGGCGGAGCCCTGGGCTGCAGGGGAGGCTGCCGCTTTCCTCCACAGCAGCAGCAGACACCACCCCCCCGTGGCACCCACCTGCAGGCACCTGGCTCAGGCCATCCCAGGGGGCACCACAGCCGCAGGGGGAAGCACTGGCTCCCCGAGCAACTCAGGCAGCCAGGTTCTGGGGGAGAGGGAAAGGGGGCTGGTGAGATCGGGCTCACTGCCTGCTTTTCCAGCCTGCTGCCAGGCTGCCTGCAAGGCTTCCTGCAAAGCCATGGAGCTGCACGGAGCCTGCTGCTTTGATCCATAGCTATAGGAGCAGAAAACAAACTCCTCAAAGGAGTTTTTGTTTGCTGTGCCCCAAGTCATTTAAAGTGCATTATGCCACCAAATTTCTTACAGCAGCTGGAGTTAATGTGCAGGACGCCGCCGCAGCATGCAAACACCGACACCTTTAAAGCAGTGCAAAAACATTTAGCCCACTTTGCTCTCGTTTAGTCTACGCGGCCTTGGACGTGAGTTTCTGGAAGTTCTGGTTTTCACAGCCTGGCCCAGGCTGGCAGACTATGAGACGACACAGGTTACTATAACAGATTCTTGGGACATTTTGGGTATACCATTTGGGTCAGTTTTCTAAGCTGTTATTGCCTTATTCTGCAGCCACTAGTCCTCACACTGCCTCTGAGGGCACCAGGGACTACTTCAAATTCAAAGGGGTTTCTGTAAATTTGTGCACTATGCTCAACATATGGGACAAGTATATGCACAGCATTCATGCACTGCCTACTTCCGTACCTGAAAGAAGCTGAAGACTTGTACAACAGTTAGTTTTATTACAATTTTAAACAAACTGAAAATGATTTTTAGCACTATGGCAAGCACAGTTCCATAAATTATATACATAAAAGAATTTATACAAGTCTACATGGACCAAAAAAGCCATTAACAGAATCACATTATCAACAAGGGGATATTAGGTGACATGGCCAATAAAATTCATGAAAATTCACAGTTAATAGTCTGCAGTATTTTAAGAATGCAGGAATCATATTGCACATAATAGTGTGAATGCTAAAGAGCAGATTTACAGTATTCACCTATTCTTTCACAGAATATACATTGGTCATAATCATGCAATACTTTTCTAAATACAGAATGGTATCATATACCACAGTAAACAGTTACTCACAATGTAAGTTTTAAATATAACAGCAAAAAGCCATTAGAGTTCTCTTTAATTCATACTTAAATTCTTTTATTATACAGTAAAACACTTCAGTGTAATTGAACGGAAATAAAACAGGTTTTATCACATTAAATTATGGTTTTAGTATTCTTCTTTGTCCTTTCCTTTCTTTTCCTTTTCGTCCTGTAGTGCAGTACCAAGTTTTTTGATAAGAACAGAGAGAACTTTGTCCAAGGGGTCCATTACCCCACGCTGAAGCCACTTAGGAATAGTAGTCCTAGCATGATGAAAGCCCAACTTCTGAAGAATGTAATCAACACCTACTGGGTCAATCTTCCTTCCAGTCCAAGAGATTAATCTAAAATATAAAAAAGCAGACTCTTAACTATATATAATTAGGCTCAAGTGTCGAGCAAACAAATATTTGAATAATCATACATTAAACAACACTGAAATTCCAGTATTACTCCTTTCAGTCACCACTCATTTTTTAACAGCTTTTGGAGGAATATGATGATTTAGGAGATCAGAAGTGTCATATGTAGCCTCTGGATCCTCAGTTTCAGTTTGGCACATACTGGTACTGAAAAACTTCTTACTCGGGTTTTTTTTTTTTTGGCTTGCGTAAACCAAGGTTTATTGCTCAACCCATTCCTTTGCAAGGAAACATTCATACAGGGGAATAAAGTATAAAGTTTACACTTAAATGCAGTAGTATAATTGGGTGTAAGGAAGCACAAAAATAGCCACAGCTGGTAGGTGGTTGTGCCATACGTGGTCCAGTTATGCTTCTACTTCAGTACTTGTTACCAGTTTCAATAGACACCATGAACAGAAGCAAACATGGGAATTTTGCTATCACACCCTTGACCCACCTTCTGAGAAGTGACTCCTGTTGGTCACAGCCAGGTTGCATATTAACAGTCTACTGTACATCTACTGGATGGTAACTTTAACAACCACTACATTCATTGTATAACAATAAATAAGGCACACTTAATAGTTAACTTGCATTTTCATTTTGAAAATGGAGTGGGGGGAAGAACATTGTTCCTTCCTATATAATGAGATGGAATTTTACACGTTATAAAACAGAAAAAGGAAGAACTCCTAACTAGTGGGTACTTAAAAAAAAAAATCACTATCAATGCTCCATAAAAACTTCATATTTTTCATTACAAAAATAAGGAGACTGATGTTACCCAAATCCAAAGCGTGCCAGGCAGTTCATAAAAACAACAAGTTTCTTGACCAAAAACTTGTAATTTCAAGAGAAAAGTCCCTCTTACATTGACATGAGAGAGAAAATATCTAGGTTAAAAAAAAAGGTTATATGGGGGATAGTGGGAAAAATGGTAAATGACATGTAAGTGGCCTCTAATGCATTGCACCTCAAATATTCTTCATGTGTAAACAGTGTAACATTTAATGTTTTTATCTAAAACCTACTCCACGTAAAATGGTATTACCCATTTTTTGTTATCAAATGACATTTCATATACTGTAGCAGGTGGCTTCACATCAGTCCCTAGTAACGAAAGCATGTTTTATAATGGGTTTAATACCCTAGGTCCCATTAGCAGGTTAACAGCATCCAACTGGGAACACCTGCAGTTTGAGGAAGATCATTTCTATGTAATACTATTTTCCCACCCAAATAAATAGACAAATAGAATGCTGCAGATAAGCCTGCTGATTACCGAAGCGTGGGTTCCAGATGCCAAGTATTGCACATAAATTCTCTCCAATCCACAGTAGTATAAGCGATGCCATCTTCTGTTTCTCGTTCACTAGAACTTTCATCAAGCACACTCACTGGGCTTTTCTGTCCTGGTCGAGTAGATAAAATGCGAGGTGGAAAGATAGCTACAAAGTTGAAGGGAAAATAATAAACTTATAAGTACTTACTTTGGACTTATTTGGATTTGATAAAGAGTTTTCCAAAGAATGGGCTTTTAACTCCTGCTCCCCACTCCACCCCTTGCTCCAATTTATTTCATTTTGGATTGATCTCGGGTTGACTTTTTGGAGAATTTAGAGGCAAAATTAATGAAGCAATGTATTACTGCAATGTATTATTTAGTGGACATTTCTCTTTCAAATAATGTTCAATACAAATACTTGTGCAAAAAAAAGGAAAAGAAATTTCACACATCCGTAATGCTGACATCAATGATTACTGTTTCAACATTCTGCTAGCCACACATATGCATGATCATGCATACATTTGAAACACAGCTCCACTATCTGTCCACATTTAAATCTGTAAGGAAAAGGGTTATACACTATATACTTAGTAGGCCATTTCAAACACACTTGTATAAATCACTCCCTTTAGGTAACAGTACATATTAATGAGAAGAATATACATACTAACTTCTTGATATTTCTGAAACCTAAAAAGATTTCAACATACTTCAAATGTTCTGAACAAATATGGTATCAAAATATTCATAAAAACAAATGAGAAAACCCATCACCTAGAACCCCCTTTTTTCTTCCCCCCTCCAATTTATGATATTCCAAGCCAAAAGGTAATTCATCTGAAGTCACAACCTCCTTAGTAGGGGCACAAATTAGCAATTCTTCTTTTATTGCCTTGTCAATACCATAAATACTTCAGTTCCACACAAAATCCAAAGATTCTTGCAATATTGACATTGAAAACTTAAGTATCTAAGGGCTCCTAC